CCCAGGACTGGGGATCAGACTGTACTGACTCTTTATTAATGTGGTCCATCTGATACCCACTTGTGTGAGATCCCAGAAACAAATTCTTGTGAGGTGAGCAAATAAGTCATGTGTGACACGCACAGACGGTCGTTTGGCCTTGACAACAACTGCACCCAGACCAAGCTCCGATCGCATTAATTTCACACGTCGTTGGATGAGGGAGTTGCAAGTGAGTACAACTAAGCTGCTATTGTCGTCGTAGTATTTTTGAAACAAAATATCCAGCTCGGATAGGAACACTTTCTCCAGACGATAATGTTCCAGTAATTTTGGAAAATCAGATCAAAGGGCGTAAATGCAGTTAATTTTTCTACCTTAGTAGCACTCAGACACTGCCAATGTCTTATACAGAAGGCAAGTCGGTGACTGAGCAGTTCTGCAAGCGATTACTTAAAGCAGAAAACTAGATGCCGACACATTAATTTAAAATGAATCTAATGGACACTGATCATACGATTTATTGAGTTATGGTGCTCAAGACCAGCTCCTTCTTTCAAGACTTCCAATCTAGTAGTGTGGGGTACGAAGCAGTAGTTAGAGTAATAAGGTAGATCATGGGACTTACATTCTAATGTGTACGAAACCACTTCCCCGTCTACTGAACAGACCATCCACCCTGTTTTCAGCGCAGAAATTTGATGACCCAACTAAATCCCTTCACTTTTCAAATTGCGACCTTACTTTACAAGGACATTAACAGCGCGAATTTCAGCAAGACTCCCAGGGATTATTTCTAGTAAAGCAGAGCCCTCTGTACGAGAAGGGACAATGTGATTGATGAAAAGAACGTTGTTTTAAAAATCAACATAAAGTTACTGTGCCTTAATAGCCGATGTTATTGAGCCAATTTTTTAGATAGACGATAATTTTCTAAATGAATGACGGCAGTGTACTGATAGCGCACCATGCTGTTAAATACAAAGAAATTAGCACGGGCAGACGTGGACCGCTTCATTTGTTCAGCCACCATCGAATATTTCTGAGCTTTACAGTTAGTGTACTATCTGATACAATAAGTTCAAAATCGTAATAAAAATCATTTTGCGGGAAGTCAGCACACGCGGCGTGCCCCCAAACTATTATAACAGTAAAGTTAGAACTATAAGTAAAAAAAGTCAGAGTTTGGTTGAGAAATTACTATTTACTAGCATAAAAAAATGTAGTTTTCTCAAAAATCTGCAAACTCAGGAAATGGCAATATTAAAAATCAGGGGTTTAAAGTAAAATATAAATGTTTTTAGGCAGGGAATCTCAAAAACCATCATCTCGCAGTGATGTCTGAATGGAAAACTGACAAGGTAAAATTCTACTTCTGGTAAAACTGGCAACCATGGGTATCTTATCAGGTTAATATAAGCATACAGTGGGGTGCGATGTAGATCAGAGATTAGTGGAGGGTAAGAAAGCAGTAATCCTATTCCAGTAACATAAAAACATTGCGAAAAATGACAAAAAATATCTGTATACGGGAAATCTACGATGTCCGTACGATTTACTCTTCTTCTCAAACGGTTGAATTTCTTATACCGTTAACTGTCGTGTTGTCATATTTAGATTCTATACGTAGCAAGGGACTCAGTAGACTACATAATAGACACCCTTAGACATCCGAAAACAGACTAAAATGTAAAACCTGCATGAGGACAAGCTGTTTAGGGGGTTTGTTTATGGGTTCAAGTGTCGTGTTCACATTTTTCCCCTACCCTTATGTATGCGTCGATTCATACAAACCAAAAATGAGCGCAAAAAATGCGTAACATGCACACATTTTTCGAAGAGGATGTTTATTTTTGTTCACTCCCTATCGGAAGGACTTTCGAAGTGCATGGGTGATTGAAAGGGGGGTTTAATTACTGCATTTGGGCGCTCAAAATACCGGATTCCCTCACCTGATTTAGCCCATCAGTAGCAGCAGTTTCCAGAAGTAGATTAAACTTATTTTTGAGGAATCACAAATGAGAGTTGGGTGTCGGTTTAAGACCATATGGGGCAGTCACAACCCACACGATGCAAATAATGTGACCTGACACATCTGCGAAGTTTCCTCTCTCTGGATATCCCTGACGATAAACTTTTAAACGGTGAACCGCGACGAACTCTGGAGGATCATGGTGAAATTTGAATGGCCAGAACTCCTCACTCACCGGATAATCCAACTCAAAAGCAGAATTAGGGCTCACTTGACGCACAATGAGTCAGCCTCCGAGGCGGTTACCGTGATCAGTGAAATAAAACCCGGGTTATGTACTCAATCCTAATTCTTTCAATCACCTGTTCTTTATGTTGATGGATGTCTCCAGTGAGGACTGGCCAGGAATGAACATCACCTACCGGCTCGATGGGAAGCTGCTCAACACATGGCAGCTTATAGCACACTCAAAAGTATTCCATCCCAGCGCCCACGACTAACTGTTCGCAAATGACCGTGCATTTAACAAAATGACGGAAGCCATCACGCATGAAAGCGTAGACCTTTTTGCCTCTGAATGTGCCAATATCGGATTGGCTATCCATACCAAGAAAATGGTGGTCATGCATCAACCTGTCAAGCATTTGGCCGACTGCAGACCGCAGTCTATAGTCAACAAGGACTTCACCTGAACACCAATATCAAAATACCCAGGATAGTAATCCTAACGGCAGTGCACTACTGG